ATTTTAAATTGGCTTCATTATGAGAAACATGGTTATAAAAAGTCTGAAAGTGTTATCCATGCAGTTGAACTCTCCTTGATTGAAATGTTTTTACGAACAAGTAAAATTTTTAAAAATAAAATAATGAAATTATTAGTAGAAGTTCTTTACGAAAACACTACTATTACTTCCTTAGATCTTTTTTTTATGAGTCTTATTTTTGAAGATGTAAAAGCATTAGCTAAAACTCTTTACAAAAACACTGTTCTGAATTCTTTGACACTTCGCGACAATAATCTTGGACCAAATGAAGCGAAAATATTAGCTTTGGCTCTTTATGAAAATACAACTCTGTTCTCTTTAAATCTTGGCATTAATTGTCTTGGTTATGAAGGAGGAAAATTTCTTGCAGAACTTCTCTGCAAAATACCGCCTTAACTTTCTTAGATCTTAGTTATAATCAACTCAGTCTTGAAGGTGTAAAAAAGCTTAAATGGCTCTTTGCAAAAACGTTTCTCTGAAATCTTATTTCTTGGTGGTAATGAACTTGGCCTTGAAAGAACCATGACATTAACTGAAGCTCTTTATAAAACACCACTTTAACCTCCTTTGATATTCATAATAATATGCTTGGTTTTAAAGAAGAAATAGTATTAGCACAAGCACTTTGCAAAAACTTCTCTTCTTCTTTATAATAATCTTGGATTTAAGGGTGGAAAAGCTCTATCAGAGGCTCTTTGCAAAAACGTCACTTTAAAATTTTTAGATGTTAGTAATAATAAACTTGGTTATGATGGAGGAATGGCGCTAGCGAAGACTCTTTGTAAAAACTTCACTTTAACTTCTTTAGATATTAGTAATAATAAATTTGGTTTTGAGAAAGGAAAAGCATTAGGAGAGGCTCTTAGCAAAAATACTGTTTTAACTCTTTGAATATTAATGGTAATAAACTTGGTTTTGAGGGAACAGAAGCAGTGGCAAATACACTTTGTAAAAATACCACTCTAACTCATTTATATCTTTCTGATATTCAACCTGGTAGTGAAGAAATAAAAACCTTAGCAGAATCACTTTACAAAAACACTACTTTAACTCATTTATATCTTTCTAATAATCGATTTGGATTTGAAAAACTAAATTAATTTCATTATTGCTCTTTTCAAATTAATGTGAGCCCGGCAATCATTTCTCACTCAGAAATCTGCAACATTATCGAATTTTGTCCCTTTTTTTGCGAATAAATCTAATTTTTCACTTACAAATAAAATTTCCTTTATTTTAGTTTTTCTAGTAAAATTGACTAATCGTAAAAAAAAAATAATTTGCAAACCAACTTCTATCGTTATAAAACCATCTACATTCAATTATAAGTTATAAAATTTTACTTGAACTTTCAAAAATAATCCTAAAAATCAAAACTGAACCTGTTGATATTGAGAAATTTTCGCTCAACATTTGAAAAATTACTTATTTACGATTAGAAATTTAATTCTAGGTACAGTACCGGACAACAAAGCAAAAATATCCACTTTTTATATTAAATTATAAAATTGCTTATAACTCAGAAACAAATAACTTTAAAAAAAAAATCAGTCTTACAGATTTGTTGCTTTTAATTTAAGCTACAATTCTGTAAGAATAGATTTTTATTTTCTTATATATTTTTAACCAATCAGAATTCATTACATAAAAATTAGCCAATCATATGTCTATTTTATTATGCTCTTCCTTTCTCTTTTCATACTTGGCGAAATTTGCGTACGATTATTGCGGATTCCGGATACATCCTCATCAGAATATTATTCATCTCGTTGCCAGGAAATATTCTAAGTGCAAATGCTACTACTTTTGATATTCCAGGCAAGATAGGTACAGTACATTAATGTGCATCTTTGAAGGTAAGCTGGTTTTAAATTTTAGTTGACAAAATCTTCGAATGATCCAAAAGAATTTATAGACAGAATCTCTACTAGTAATGTAGATAATACTAATATATGGTTTTGATATGCGTAATGCCAAATTAAAACCCGGAAGTGAATAATCAAGTTTTCACTGTGGTAAAACTGATCATGTTTCTGATTCAATTATGTAAGATTATAACTTTTCAGGGTTAAGTTTGCCATAGTGAAAACTTAAATATTCATTTCCAGGTTTTAATTTGACAGCACTCATATCATGAAAGGGTCGAGAAGAACAAATCTGCTAACATTCATGAGTTCTAGGACAATAGGACTATCCTAACTCAGCAAATTTAACGAACGTAATTTTCAGTCAATTTCCTCGTTGTCCCAGTATTTATAATCTAATGCCATCTAACTTTATCAGAATCTTCTCAGAAATTGTATGCGTTCTCGATATAAGTGCTGTAAAGCAAAATCTTTAAGTACAAATTAAAGTTTTTGTACAATCAGTGTTCTGTATGTATGTACGTACGTACGGACTTATTAAGCACATAGCAGATAGGTTACTGTTACGTCAATTATTATCTCTGAATCATTTTTATATTATATAAATATAAATTCTTATTAACAAAAAGTTTTTTTCTGAATATTTAAAATTAATTATTTTCGAATAAAAAATATCCAAACTGAAATTTGCGGCCATTTATTAAGTATGAATAATATTTTATATATAATGCTGTAGTAAAAATAATAATGAACCCAAAATTACCCTTTACAGATGTAATAGAAATCCACAAAATTACCTTGGAAAATTTTATTTGCAAATATAAAATTACTCAACAATATCAGTATACAAATACTTTACATAGAACACAAAAACCAGTTCAAGTAGCTTTTGTATAATGATAAAAAGAAGGTAAAAAAGAGCAAATCGAAAATTACAATAAAAAATTGCATAATATCCCAAATGTTTAAACATAAAGAAAATAATTTTTTTGTTATATTTCCGCATTTTGAAGCAAATAAAGAAAGCCAAATAGGTTTATAATCATGTTTAAATATTGAATATATTGTTACCATCGGTTGGGAGAGCAATTGCGGATGTTGTAGACACGTGATTTTTTTGTGGAGCCAGCAAATCAGAATTCAAGATCAGGTGTAACGTTACACGATCAGGAAAATTCAAAACAAAAATCGCTTGTTTCTCAAAAAGTAGCATAAGAAACCACCTTTAGTGCTTTAACAAAAAGTTTTCCTTGAGCAATTTTACCTATCGCTCTCACTCACCCTAACCCTAACCTTAACCCTAACCTAAACGAACTTTAAAGACTTTTTCGATTCTCACGTGTCTGCAAAATTTTTATGGCAATACTGGGGAAAATATTTTATAGCACTTATACACGTGATATGATATCACGAAGCTCTTAAGCTGAGTCAGGGTTATCACTTAACAATCAAAATTTAATTACTGGGAAGGGTTTATTATATACAATAAGAAATGTAAAACAACAATAAAGAAATAATACAATAATAAAAAGAATAACTAAACTAAACTAATAACATAAACTCTAATACAACATAAGGGGGGGAATCCGAATATAAACTATAACTAAAACATGAAAGAGTTCTATATCATCGTTTGAGACAAAGCCTGCCTATATATGTGGAGACACAGTCTAAGGAAACTTAACTAAGACGAAAACCCAGGCCTTAAATACCTTTTACATTACTAAGAGCTACTGCGCTATCTTTAATCACTAGTTTATCTTCTTAGCAATCTTCGGGCTGTAACAATCCACATTTGATAGCCTCTAAATATTACTCGCAACAATTGTGAGCTAGGCGCGCAACAATTGTGAGCTTAAGCACACAATTGTTCACAATGGGCATCAATATTTACTACAAGGCTTACTCTCTATCTAATGTTTATCCGATGATAGAAGTAATTAATCACCGGGATTGATCTACATCTTTAAGCCTTCGACCATGAGTGTCTCTAAGCCTTTATCCGCCACCTAAGAGCCTCACAATATTCTTGGGGCTTGGGTCATTCGGACATTTAGTACTACCAAGTTACATAGAAGTCACGGGTTTAATTCTAAAACTGACAATATTTATTAAACTTATTAAACGTTAATATTATCAGTTATTGCAATCTGAATATTTGGTAAATTCAGATTGACGTACGTACGTACGTAGCTTGTCTCAGATTTTGCGTGTGCCAGGTTGGTGACGCACAAGGATTTCCTTTATTTCACGTACAGTACGTAAATTTCTTTTTGAAGAAAATTTCCACCCTGTGCTTCATCAATCGTCCTGTACTTTGAATGTTTTCTATTATTCTTTTGCGAATTGACTCCCTCTATATCGAACTAATATAAATTTTTAAATTTTTAGTTCGTTATTATAAACTCTTCAAAATTTGAAAGAATTATTAAAATTAATCGCGTTTATACTTTATAATTGTGAATTCCAGACCTTGATTATGCCTAACTAGAATCAGCCTAATCAGAGATATAATGTATCCGGATACATAATAATTTTTTACTATTAGATGATAAACTGACATTTTGATATATTATGCAATTTCTTTATCATTAGTCGTTTCGACATGCATAAACAATCTTTAATTTTTACTATCGAATGTTAAAGACATCGAGATACAATATATCGTAATGTACAATTTCTTTGTCATTAGATAAGTTTGATAATAACAACCAACGATACTGTACATAAGCAACTTTTTGACTAATGAAATTCATAGAGCTCAAAATTTAAAAGACTTTGACATCTAGCAAAACTGATTTTAACTTAACTACAGGGTAGAATATGTAATATGTATTATTTTATTAATCAATGACTAATTCCAGTTACTACGGTACTGTATAAGCCATTACCTCAATATGAAAAAAATATATTTCTGGCACCTATCCTACACAGTATATTATCTTATTTAGTTTCTTAATAACGATCAAATAACATATATGTAAAAATTTTTTATAAAAAAAAAAAAACAGTAACCGGAGGGTAAATAAATCATAGCAGATAATACAAGAAAAAGGCTTTTGTGGTATAATAATTGCCATAATAATTTGTTTCTTTTCAAATTGAATATTTCCTCTAGTTATTTCTTTCCTTTTCATTACTTATCATATTATCTAATATTTTTCTATACCAACTATCTACATCTTTAGAATGTTTTCTTTCAATCTCTAGTTCGTTTTCCAAACTCTTGATTCTCTTTTGATCCTCTTTTTGTAACTCAATTAATTGAGTTACTTGTTCTTGCAAGCGGTCGATTTTATTTTCTAATCGTGAAAAGTCATTTCTTGCTTCTTGGTTGTTTTGTGGCACATTTAGTAAATTTAAATTTAAAGGATTACTTTCCCTTGCTAAGTATGCTCGTTCAATTTCACAGACACCGCAAAGGTTAAAACGATTATGAAATATTTCTGACATTTCTGACTGGCATCTAATACAATAAATAGGCATGATTTTTATTTTTCATAAAAGACGAGTAGATAGCCGCAATTTTTACGTATGAGTTGGTTTATTTTTTTATAGTTATTGTTCATATGATATGATCATGTAAAAAAAATTTTTTTCATCGTAAGTCAATATCATATTTAATTATTATGATGTATACAATTACAATAATCAAAATCTGAATAGACAACAATACACCAAAGCATCTTCATTTGGCAAAATCATTGGGAAATTTTATACGCAAGCCTATCGCTATACCTTTTTTGAGCAAAAATCAAATTACTTACATGTGATGGTTTACGACCACTTATTTACGAATGCTTTGCAGATTTAATGAAGAAATATTTGGAATTGATCCAGAAAACAACAGAAATTTATATTATTTTTGTAGAACGACATAATAACGAAAATATTTATCAGAATTATCTGATATGATAAAAAATACTCAAGTGTATAGTAAATCACATAAAAATAGTTTATTTCATCTAATAGTTGTTATAAATGTCAAGGGAATTATAATTTTAGATTTAAAATTATACGGTATGGGTTGATATTTTCGTTGAATAAGAGCAACTCTCCCAATTGTGGAACAGAAAATATAAAAGAGATTATTATACTTTACTAATAAAATTGAACCAGGATCAATAGAATATTACAGAAATTCATATTGCTTATGATAACAATCTCACGCCTGATAGGTCAAGCGTTTAAATTCTCTCTTTATATCGATATCAATTCTTTATATATATTTTGTATTGATAAGCTTTGAATAATAAATTATAATTTTGAATACATAAATTATTATTTGTGGTCATGGAAATCATGATTCTAAATTTAATTATGACGTAGGCTACATTTTTTTTTTTTTTTTTTATGGGCGGTACAAGGACATTTGTTATGTTAAAATATTTTCATTTATAAGAAATATTATATGAAGATAACATAAAAAGAAATTCAAAATTTTTAACATTTTTTATGCAATATCTGATCTTGTGCCTAGTACCTTGGATGGTGTGGCCGCCCTAATATTGTCATCGTCCAACACTGGATCGGGGTACTTACATGGTAAATACGGTACCTGGATTTCAGAATGGTTAGTTACTCGTGAAAAATAAATAGCGCGCAAACAACCAATTAATTTTTATTATTCACACAAATATTTAAAAGGACGTACATTCAAAACTGTAAAATTTTCTATCACATAAAAATGTATTCTCTTTTTCTTCTCGTACTTTCTCCCTTATCTGAAATGTCTGAACCTCCTAACAAGATTGTTTCTACTTTTGATATAGATAATCCTTCTATATGATATCACCATTTATTTGAAGTAGGCGGTACATATTATGATGAACCTCAGAAAGGTGTTTGGGTCAAAATCCCGACAGGTCATAATCCTGACAAAAAAATCCCGACAAATCCCGACAATCAAAAAAAAGCACGAACCAAGCATCACCCAAAAATCAGTTACGGTTTAAACTCAATTAAACACAATTAATTTTATAGTTCCGATAATTTAATATGTATGATTGATTTGTAATATTTATTTTGATTAATAATCAATAACGATAATAATTTGCTTAAGT